ATCTTCAACACAAGCATGTGACCAATCAAGAGGACTAGACGCACATATCGCCCATGGAGTCCAAGTTTATTCAAATCTACCTTCAACACCATCGCCCACCTCTCTCCATTGAAGACCCTAACTTGTGCTTGCAAACCTTCCTCTGTTACTGTTGCTAAAGAGAGGTTTCCATTCCACTCTTGGACTTTCCGGTATGCATTCGAAATCTTCATATGAGCCTTTGGATTATGGATGCATCCCCATTCCTCACGCTACATGTCGAAAGAAAGTATCACGAACTTACTGTTAGAAAAGCAATAAAAATTGGTACCGATAGATGCAGGTATTGCCGACCCAGCTATTGGAATTGGCAGCATTTTGTAGCAGCCTCCAATTCGCAACCGATGAATCGAAGATCCAAAAGAAGACCAACTTACTATTTGAAATAATGGAATAGCCTTTGGACCTAGCGAGGGAAGCCATCTGTCCTCTTAGTTTTGAAGAATAAGCTTGGGGTACTGCTAAGATCTTGAAGTTTCGAGTCATGGGCTTGAAATAGAATCCAAACTCAGAGATTTCTAATGCTAGCTCTGGACAAAAAAGAAATTCTTCTTGGGTGATAGGATTCCCAACCACAAGGTGATGATTTGGAACCAAGGAGAATTATTTTTGGGTGATAGGATTCCCAACCATAGAGTGATGATTTTACCTGTTTATTGTCGACGAAGTGCGTTTTATTTGCGGTCGAACCATTATTGTCGACGAAGTGCATTTTCTTTTCGATTGGACTAAACAACATAATATGCCATTGCTGCACTCCATCCGTTTCAGGTGTTGGTGTTGAAAGAGTGTTTCTTTGTAGGCTGAAGGATTACTAAGTTCGAGATCATTGGCATAGAACAGTTGTTGGCGCTTGCGATCATTGGAGTATTGAAGGATGAGAGAGAGGCCGAAACAGATTCGACGAAATAAGTACTTTCCATTATTTGGAGACTGCCCTGATTCTGCATATAGACTTACGAGGTAGTGGTTCTAAACTATCAGTAACAAGATGATCAGGAAGGACCGGAGAGAGGGCTGGAAAGAGATAAACCATGTTGAACTCTTATACAAGTAAAAAAAACAAATAAGACAAATAGCAAAATTGGGGGAAACAAATTTAATTAACTGAAAACAACGGCAATAACAAAAGAGCAATCTCCAAAGATGCATACTCAAACAAACACAAATTCGAATTCCAACAATGAATAACAATTTTACATGCAAAAGGTCTAAAACCCGACATGCTAATTTTTCACAAATAAAGATTGAGAATTTTTCACAAATCAAGATTGAAAAAAATATAATCGACAGGCTGATTTTTGACAAATAAAGATCGTTGCAATATGGCTTTTACATGAGAGAACCGGGCTCTTACATGAAAGAACAAACTCAATTTATTACAAAGCTTCTCTCTCAACATAACCCAAGTATTCTGTGCACAACCCCTTTAATTCATTGTGTCTCTACAGTCTCTATTTATAGAGAAAAGAAGGAAATTTGAAAGAGGGTCAACATGGAAATACTAACTTATCTTCCTAATTAAACCATAAAGTGATAAACCTAATCTGATGAACTCCTATCATTTAATGAGTTTATCATATGGGAAATATAGAATTCCTAATATTACCTCCCAAGAAAAGAACTCCCACAAAATTAGAAAACCAAAAGTGTCCATTTATATTAGGAAACCTAAAACTAATCCCATGTGACTTGGGATTCAAGATATATCCCAACAGTAACTAACTGTTCCTATTTTAAAAAATAACCCTTTGTCTCTCTCGCCACCTCTGGAAAATTGTTTCCATTATCTACAAAACCCTTAAAACCCCAGAAAGACAAAAATACCTAAACAACCATTGTAAAATTTATCTATTACTGTTTCTAATAAACATCCCCTTAACCTGTATTTATAGATTTCAAATAAAAATCTAAAATCGTAGGAGAACTCCAAATAGAAAACAATAAATATTATAGAAAGTTTCCCATTCTAGACAATGGGAAACTTCTTATCAACTAATTGTCCCAAAGGTTAAATTTGATGTTTCAAGTTCAAAAATACAAAAAGGGAATAGTTAATATTTAACATTGCCGTTTGTGTTTTTCCATGCAAGTAAATATGTCTTAGTTATTGTACAAAGAATAAGGAAAGTTGAAGAAGGATTTCCTTTATCCAGACTTTGGAGTAGAGAGGAAACACCCATAAAACATAATTGATGGAGGACCGTCCGATGGTTCATCATTTGTTTTTCAAAACGACATTTGGTTAAAAATCAGGGGTGGCAATGGGTCGGGTTGGGTCTGGGTCAGCTGGCCCAAGAACCGGACCTGACCCAAAAAATAAAAAATATATATTCTTAAATATATTTAAATATGGGAAAAGTTTATATAGAGGCTCTAAACAAACAAATTAGAGCCTACCTCAAAACTTTCTCTAGAAGATGTTGTTTTGATGCTCAAATATCCTCAAATCGATCATCTCGACATCAAGATACATGGACATGAGAAAAAAATGGATTTCACGTTTTGGAAATAGTGTATTTTGTAACGTATTATTAGACCGTCAATTTTAAAGATTTTAAATTTTTCATAGATATCATCGATCTACAATGCTATCAAATTCTAGTATTGAAACCACATTCCTCGACACTGTTTGAAGTTACGCTCTAATTGGATTGTTTAGAACCTAGGCTATATACAAACCTCACCCTTTAAATATTGTGTTAAATATATACATGTATTATTTAAATATTATAATTAAAATTATATAGTTATATTTATTTTAAAATTTATTTAAATATTATATATTAAATACTATTTAAATGTTAACACTATTCGGGTTGGGCAGACCCAGACCCAAATAGAGTTTGGGTCCAAATTTTGGACCCGGATTCGACCCACCAGGTCCAATTTTTGGACTCATACCAAACCCAAATTAGGTATGTCGTCGGGTCCTGGATGGGTCCGAGTCCACTGCCACCCCTAATTAGTCTAAAAATCTATCAACCCATCCGCGAGATGCCCTAATTTACATTGTGTTAGTTTTTATGGGAAAAGTTTACATATATCTTCAAATTAAAATTTTAGGGTATGTTTTTAAATTACTTATTCATATTGAGAATCCCATGCTAAATAGTTGCCACCGTATCGAGCAAGGATCAAATGCAATGGTTGTATTATAGTATAATGCAATGACACTACTAGAAAACCATGTTTTTGGTATTTGTATGACCTCAAATTTTCCACACGCACTCTCTTTATCTCAATAATCAATCTCTAAAAAAAAAAAAGTTCAATTTGAATCCTAGATGTGGTCAAAATGCATCCCCTCCACATATGAATCTAGACCATTCATTTTATGAATTTCAAGATCTTAGCTTTTATAAACTCAAAATCAGTTTTTTCTTTTTTAACATTGTCCATCTAATAATAATAAAGCCATCCAAAAAAATTGGAAATGAAAAAATGCTTCTAAGGCCTAGATCTAAGCATCTCACCAAAATGAACGCCTTATGTTAATTGGGCTAAAAAAGTATTTTTTAGGTTGTGTTTTCAAATTTTTCTTTTTTTTTGTGATTGTTCGCTAGAATGAAAAGAGTGTATATTTCAAACTTAAGAGTGTATATTTCAAACTTTAGATCAAACAAATGGCCATAAGATGGTTTTTTAAGGTTGTTGCATCATATTAGTATACATCAGTTGCATGAAATCATTGGCCCACTGTATCTCTCTCTTTCTCTTTTATTTTTTATTTTTTAATGTTACCTTTTTCTATCTCGTTTATTTCTTTCTTTTTTTTTGGAAAAATTGCATAAAATTCTTAAAAGTAAACTTTCTAGGCATTTTACCCACCCTAATTTTTTTAGCATATTTTTCTCAAAAATCAAGTTTTATAGTAAATACCCCCAATACACAAAATTTCATTTTTTGACGAAAATACCCTTCCCATACATATCAAATCATTTTTTAGATCCCAATACAAGGAAATGCCGGACCTCGGTTGTATATTGCCGGACCCATCCATTTTGCTGGACCTGAACTGTACACTGTCGGGTCGCCTATTCTAGACAAAATTTTGCCAGACTGTAGGTCACAAATGGTGAACTGCACTTGTAAAACACCGAAACGACCGTTACGCCAGTGACATAATCGCGGACTGCTTACGCCAAACCGCACACTCTAGTGACATAAACGCCGGACCGCCTCTTCCATACGCCAGACCGCACACTCTAGTGACATAAGTGCTGGGCCGCCTCTTCCAAACATCGGATCGCCATGGTGAAGTGTCGAATCGCCATAAATCAGTGACTTAAGTGCCAGACCGCCTCTTCCAAATATCGACCACCATGATGAAGTGCCGGACCTTCAAATCCAGTGACTTAAGTATCGAAATGCCTATTCCAAATGCTGGATTGCATGGTGAAGTGCCGCACTGCCATGGTCAAAGTGTGAGGTAAGAGAGGGTATTTTAGTCTTTTTTTTTTTTTTGAGTTGGAGGTTATTTGTTAGGAAACATGGTGTTGGGGATAAACTTACTCGCATAAGATAGGTAGGGAGTAAATGGCTCAGAAAGTCCATCTGTTGGGTTTTTATGCAATTTTTTTTTGTTTAATGACCTCTCTCTCAACTTCTAAAAGGGATTTGGTTAGCCGCAACGTACAAGATAATCCTCTTGTCCGTTTATAAGTTTTTGAATGAATTCAATAAGGTGTTGCCTTCCAAGTTAGTGCCACGATTAAACGAGCCTCGAGAGCATACTGTCTGTTTATTCCCTTGGGTAAATCTTAACGTGTTGCCTTCCAAGTTAGTGCCACGTTTAAACGAGCCTCGAGAGCATACTGTCTGTTTATTCCCTTGCGTAAATCTTAAGGCAAAAAATATTTTTAGGATGCCCTAGCCCTAGCCCTAGCCAAGCTTCGAGCTGCTTTCTCTGCTCGCTGAGACACTACTGAAGCCCCTGTCCTGGTGCGTTTTGTCAATCTCAGGCCATCTCTTTGTTCATTTTATCTCTAATTTCAAAGCAGAGGAAACCCTAAAATAAAATGAGAAAGAAACAAAATCCCGTAACAAAAAGACCCATTAAACACCCTCTCCCTCTGACTTCGTACTCTCTTTGTTTTCTACATCAAATCTCTCATTTTCTCTGTTTTCTCCCTCTGATTTCATACTTTCTCTGTGTATCTACTTTCTTTGAGAATGATGGTCTTATTTATTGAGTTTTTATTTTTATCCATATTTTAGGGTATTCCTCCTCTCTCTATAAATTTTTTTTTTTATCTGGATTTTATTGGGTTGCTATTAGAACTGGTATCCTGTTTCATGGAGTTTATTTGGCGTTTTTTTCTACTAGTACTTTAGTTTTTGTGCACGCCAAACCTCCATACTATGTTTTGAGCTCACACTCTGCCTGATATTTTCTTTTGATGATTCAATAATTGTTCTTGCTACCCTTGCTTGGTTGTAGATTCGCCACGATGTTGTCTTGCATTTACAATGTTGGCCTCTAGGTTAGAAAGCCAATGAATTTGAATATTGACTGATTTCATTGTATTATTTCCCACGTTTGGTGCTGATGTTCATCAAGAAGGGAAAGCCGCAGGCTGTCTGCAAGTATTGGCTTTCTTGCTTCTCTGGAAATTAATGCCTTCTTTTTTTTCTTGGCTATGATGCCAAGCATGTCTCAAAGTTGTAAAGAATGATACAAAGCATTAGCTTATATTTGAGGGCATTTTTCCCATTTTTCTCTTCTTCGTCAGTTATTGGGTCATCTATATGATCTGTTTCATGGATACTTTTCTGTGTTTTTCTACTGTGGAATAGATTTGTGTTTTCCACATTGACTGCAAATGTTTTTGGTTTTCTCTTGTCAAGTTCATTGCCATTATAAATTTCTTTATGTGTCTATGATAATAATTATTTGTTGTTAAAATATTCTATATTGGGTTTATTGGGTGGTTTCTTATGTTTTGGGAGCTTCCATTTGATGATTGTTGATTGTTTTTTGAGAATTCAGTATGTTTGTATTTTTTGTGGTGGTTTTGTGCTTTATGAAATGTGAAATTGAAATTGATGTTGGTTGAATGTTTGGTGTGCATTTGAGGTGTTTGTGAATGTTCATAAATTTGTTTTGTATCAAATGTTTTTGAGCTCTTATAGCTGTGAAGAATAATTCCTACTGATTTTTACTATTTTTCAGTGTTTTCACTCTAATAGTGATATTGAACCTATCAACACAAATAATGCTATGCGTTGCATTTGGCTTTATGAGAAATCCAATTAGGTATAAAGGGAAGGACAATATCATTAGCTTATATTCTGAGAAATCCCAATTTTTTAAGGATCCATGTCCAAGTTGGGTTACATATTCAATACATTATGGATTACATATTCAATCCAAATTTGGTTTGGTATGCAATATCCATTTTTTTGGGTGTTGTGGTTTGGTTTGGTATGCAGGACAAATTTTGGGTGTTGTGGTTTGGATTGGTATGCTGAACACTTTTTATTTGTGGACGAATGTGAGAATTGACATAAGTTACTGCAATAGCTAGATTCGATGTTACATATGATAAGCTAGTTTTTATGTATTATGTTTTTTGTGAGGAACAATCATATGTGGTGGTCTTGCTTGACTGCATAAAATTAGCTGTCATTTTAGTTGTTTTATGCTTTGTTTGTTTGTTTTTATTTTTATTTTTTATTTTTATGTTTATTTTAGGAAATTTTCTGTTTTTTGTTTTTCATTCTTCTCTTTTGTGGTGTGTTATTAATTTGTAGCCAATTAGGCCTTTCTGAGAAATCGAATTAGTCATAAAATATTTTAAAGATCCATGTCCAAATTGGGTTACATTTTGAATACATTATGGATTACATTTTTGGAGATGTATGAATTGAACTTCTATGCTTGAATCTCATTAGCTTATATACAACTTCAAAGGAAAGGACAATGAGCTTTTATAATGGTATAACATAGCAATTTATTTATTTTATTGGAGATGGTCTTATCACTTTTGTTTAGTGTTTGAAGTTATGTGTTGATAGAGTATGTGTTATTCTGGTTTGTAGTTTAAAAGATGAATACCTTTGTTTTATAGAAATTGGGGAGTAGATATTATATGTGCCTTACATAATGGAGGAAATTGACGAGCGTGAGAGGAAGAGGAAGATGATGGAGAGGTATGCTGTTTACATCGCAACTCTATGTGCGGTTAGTGCAGCTATTGCTGCTTGTAGTTGTAGAAAAAAGAGTCACATATGTAGGTCATTGGGTACGAAGTACCACCTAGAGATAATAAATAAAGGAGACGTGGATTGTGGAGATCAAATTTGTATGAGTAGGGCAGCGTTCTGCAACCTACGAGATCTCCTCAAGGAACGGGGAAAGATGAATGACACAATGGGAGTATCAATAGATGAACAACTTGTGATGTTCTTACATACCCTGAGCCATAACTTGTGATCAATCATGCATTTGGCCATTCGGGAGAGACTATTAGACTGTGTCAGTCGGCACTTCAATCGAGTGTTGGATGCAGTCATAGGACTTCATGGGGATTTCATTAAACCTCCAGAGACGATCATGCCACCCAAAATACTTCTTAAAAAAGAGATGTTCCTCCCTTATTTTAAGGTGGAGATAACATATTCATACTTTGCGCTTCTACTTAAATAATGTATATTCACTTGACCTTCAAACTACTTGTACTTTTTAATATTTTTTAGGATTGTATCGGAGCAATTGATGGCACTCATATCCCAGCCATTGTGCCTTGTGCACTGCAAGGAACATACCGAAATCGAAAGAGGTTCATCTCTCAGAAAGTCATGGGTGTGTGCTCCTTTAATTTTAACATTCCAATATGTACTCGTTGGTTGGGAAGGGTCAACATCAGATTCATGCATTCTGCATTCTTCTCTATCGAATCTTGACCCTCTTTGAGTTCCTTCTGGTACAAATATCTACACTAGAGTAGTTGACCTAACACACCTATGGATATGGATATGGATATGGCACAAGGTTTCAAAAAACGCTAGGCGGCCTGCCTGGCGCCCAGAACTTCGGGTGTCCTGTAGTGCAAATTCTTAGCATTTTTTCATATATTTGCTATCCAAATTCGCATAGATGCGTATATTTGTGTCAAATTTTGTAATTTATTCCATTTGAAAATATCGCAAGTTCGCAACATATGTTTTTGTATACAAACATATCACATATCTCAGGTTGAGAATAAACTTGTTCAAAATTTCAAACCGTACAAAAGTAACAAAACATTTAAAAGTCTAATAAACTATTGTAAGGTCTCCAACTCTCATATTCTCTATATTCTATATCGATAAAATAAACCATAATAACATCCAGGTCTCCAACTTTCCAAGTCTTCAACAAACTGACTTCCAAAACTATAAAAGACCATTAAACCACAACAAAATAGTCCACAAAGACAAAAAAAGTATAAACCACATAACAAAATAATCAAAATGTCTAAAGCCCAAATCAAGTTGGTGCAATAAAGTTACTACAAAAGAAGAGAGAAGACATCAATAAGAATAAAAAGCATCATCTTCATTGCTTCCATCTGCATCAGAATCGAGACCGTCATCATTAGAATCATCACCCTCTTTAACATATTCCTCTTCTTTCAAAGATTCTTTTGAATCTGCCCCCTCTTCCTCTATCTCCCTTCGTGAGTGTGAAGTACCAGCAGACGTCATTGCTCGAGTGGCCCTCCTAGGATCAGAAGCTTGCCCCGAAGCCTCCTCGACCATTTTCCATGTCAACCCCCCCCCTCCCCCCCCCCCCCAAGGAAAACCTCCTCAGTGCTTGGGTCACCAACTAGCCAATCTGAAGCATTCTTCATGTGTTTCGAAGAGACAAGATCCTTCTTTGAATGATTTTTCTTCTCCTTGAGCCTTTTATTCTCTCTAACAAAAACTAAGTCATTGAACTTCTTTTGCTCAAGCCTATTTCTTCTCTTTGTATGCACCTATAAGGAAAAATGCACAAGTAACTACTATGAGTCTATGAATCTATATTAGAAAAATGAACTTGTAAACAAGAACTCCAATTGCGCTCACAACCAGAAGAGGTAGTTGTCAAATTCAAGATCTGTATAGCCATCTTCTAGAGGTTTGGAGCGCTACTCCCATGTTGTCTCCACCATTGGACCACAATGTGTGGGCAACTTTTATAATTAATTTAGGTATCTAACATTATCACACATAATTTTAGAAACTTGAAAGAAAATTATAATTTATAAAACAAAAGTAAAAAATATATTACTTGGTTCGTCTTTGTTTCTCTATCTTAATGCCATATCTTTCGCAAATGACATCAAAGAGCACTTGTACAAAATAAGCTCTTCAGTTGATATCTTATCATGGATATGTGGATCGGGAACTAATTTCTCAAGGCACTCATTAAAACCTTCCATAATTATTCTTTTTGACTCAATATGTTCATCTGCATAAAAGAATTTGGGTTCAAGTAGTACCCCGCTGCATGCAATGGTCTATGGAGCTGCTTAACCCATTTGTCACCTATAATCTCCCAAATTCGGTCATACTTGGCTGCATCATTGCCCAAATTCTCTGCAATCTCATTCTTAGCCCTTTCCATTGCATCCTATATAAAGCCCATGGAGGGTTTATCAGCATTAACGAAGCTCAAGACCTTCACCAAGGGAAGAAATACTAATATCGCATGCTTCACCCTACGCCAAAAATATTTTGAAAGAACAATATCCCGTGCCTTTTTTCTCTTGCAATCTCTAGACCACTTACACTTACTCCACTCCTTTGAAGCAAAGATAGACCTTAATGCGATCCTCCTCCTATACATGCTCTGTAGACTAAGGTAGGTAGTGACAAATCTAGTGACCCTAGGCCTCACTAACTCTCTCTTCTTTGTAAACTTGCGCATCATGTTAAGGGTAAGTATGTGACTGTATATGAAGATTGTAACCTCCTTAGTCTTAAAAAGAATTCCTTTAATAGTAGGCAAATCACCAATGGCCTCAAGCATAAGATCTACGCAATGTGCAGCGCAAGGAGTCCAAAATATGTGAGGCCTCTTCTGTTGGAGCAAATGACCTATAATTAGATTGGGAGCAACATTATCTGTGACCACTTGAATTACAAGTTCCTACCCAATCTCCTCAATGCCCATATTAATGACAGAAAATATATAATGAGCATCATGAATATCATTGGAAGCATCAATTGATCGCAAAAAAACTATACTTGAGGGGCAATTTTCAAACAAATTCATGTTACTCCTCCTCCTATCTCTCCACTTACCTGTCATTAAAGAAACCCCAAATTTAGCCCACCCCTCCTTATGGGTCTTGAGATATTTATTAGTGTACTCAACTTCTTTCTTTAGTAGTGTCTCTCCAATCTCATAAGGAGTAGGACCTTTCAAACCTGGCCCAAATTGCCCAATTGCTTCCAACATTGTATGGAAGCTATTCAAGCGAGCGGTGTTAAAAGAAATGCCCACATGGTAAAACCACTGAGCAATATACTGAATCACCCTGCCTCTATCTTCCTTCTTAAATCTATTTTCAAGTGTCACTTGTTTTTTCCCCTTTCCTCTCTTGCCTTTCTTAATTACTCTCTCAGGGTTAGGTGTAAAAAAAGTATCTCTCATCCCTCTCATAGGAGGCTTCTTAGACCCAAAAGCCCTCTTGCTCTTAGAGCTCTGAGTACTAACCATGGCTACATCTTCTTTCCCCTCTTCATCCTCTTCTTCAGTGTCAATATTATTATAAAAAACATGGACCCTGACTTTAATTCTGCTGTCCTTTTGTTTTGAAATTTTGTGCTCTTTTCACCTTCAATGTATTCAGAAATTTCTTTCTTTACAAGTTTTGGGACTTTCTTACATTGGGTAACATTACCTCTATTACTGGCAAGATGTTTCTTGAATCTATTTATGCCGAGATTAGAAACATGTCCACAGAAATTGCACATAATTTTATTCCTATCATTTTTATCCGGGTTAACACGATATTTCTATCCCAGATCTCCACCCCTAGTAGATCCCACAGAAGACATCTCAAGTTGGAAAAATAAAACTCAAATAAAGATTACAAATTGACCTTTTCTGCTCTGCCCAATCTTTGATCTTCGATGTTGGTTACCTCAATCGAGCCACTAATCAACTCAAAAGTCTTCTAATGCCCACTAAAAGCACCCTAAAATTATTTTCAATGAGAAAAGAATATTTTTTTTCAATCCACAAAACATACTTTCGATTATCAGAAATTACTTTAGATTCTCAGAAATAAGTTTAGCGTAGAGATTGAGGGGCTTTTTATTTTTTTTTTGTTCACTTTGGGGGTTAAAAATAAATCCCATAACGTTTTTATACAGCCTTGGGGGTCAAAATGAACCCCTTTGCCCTTTTGGGCAATTTGAAAAAACGAAAAAGGCCTTACGACCCTGGGTGCTAGATACCTGTCCAGGTACATACACCCGTGTAGGGCCACCTGGGTCTAGACATGCGGATTTTTGGTCCAGGCTGCATAGGCGTTGGGCGGACCATTTTTAAAACATGGATATGGCATGATAATGAGTTGATCAATACGGTGTTTTTGTAGGGAAATTCTACCTCCTTGTAGATGCCGGTTACCCAAATACGGCAAGATTTTTATCCCCTTATCGTCAATCTCGCTACCACTTGAAGGATTTCCATCGAGGTGGATCAAAGGCCCAAGACTACATGGAACTTTTCAATAAGAGACATTCCTCTCTAAGAAAATGCCATTGAGCGGGCCTTCGGTGTCTTGAAAAAACGATTTCCAATCCTGAAAGTCGCTACTTTGTACCCATTGAAGACACAAATTAAGATAGTCATAGCGTGTTGCATCTTGCACAACTTTATCATAGGTATTGATGGTGCTCCACTGGAGGATGAGGTTGAGGACAATGTTGAAGAGGAAGAGTAGGTACCTATACAATATTTGAAGGTGGTGGGAGGAGTCAAAATGGAAGAGATGAATGGTCGGATTTCCAAGATGAAATCGCGATAAGCATGTGGGAAAAATAAAATCACTGTGGAAACTAGATTATGTTTATTTTCCTCTTTTTTTTTTTTGTTGGAATGTTACGATGAAATATGCGACAAGGTATTAACTTGGTTGGTGTACGCATCTTTAATTTGACATTATGTGGTGACGCCTTTTCAATTTAAAGAAGTTATTTCGACTTTATTTGACATTATGTGGTGACGCTTTTTCAATTTAAAGAAGTTATTTGCACAATTGAATGCGAGTGGGGGTGAATGGGGTTATGTTATACTGCATATCAACTACAAGATCTTGTAAATAAAATAAAATTTAGGAATAAATTTATTTCTTCTTTCTGTAACTAAAACAAAAATTATGAGTAGAAAATGTCAATAGTACATCTAATAAATATAGGAATAAATTTATTTCGTCTTTCTTTTTCGCGAGCTACATTGTTTTGTCTTACAAGTATTAGAGATAATTTAATTCTAAGTTTCAGAATAGCAAAGTATATAACTTCATGATTTCCCAAAACGTTGACGTTAATTGAATATTTGGTATGTAAAAGATATATAGGATACAATGGAAGGAACAAGAAAAAAATAAGGATTTCATCATAGTTCAGAAATAATATTTTCAAGTTTAGAATGAATGTGTGGAGTTAATTATTATAAAATTAATTGTAGAGTACTAATACAAAACTGAAACTGAATTTCCATGGATTCACTTATTCCAGGCAATCCAAACAGCGGACAAGCATATCCATATTTCTTATGAGGTTCTATCCAAACAGCAGACAACCCTATCCCAGGGACAGACCAATTTTAGGATAAGCCAATTCCAGTATAAGCCTATCCCCAGGACAGTCTAATCAAAGAAGTAAAACTCTCGCATAAGTCACCTCTTCTCCACAAGGAAATTGCTGGATTTTCTCTTCTCCATGGCCATGATGAATGTGTTGTTGAGGCGTCGCTCGTCTTCGACTTTCTTCATTCCCTTGTGGGGTTCTCGGACCATTTGGCCTCTGTTTAATCCTCTCTCTCCTGGAGCAGGAGGAGAAATCACCATGAAACAGAGGAATCAAGAGCGCGGTGGTGGTTTCCATCATTTTTGTTCACCATCTCTCTTAACATTGGGCGCTACAAGCACTAGAGGTTTTGCAAAGGGGAGGAAATCCAGTGCGTACAATCTTCCTTCACTCATTTTATTCAGAAGTCCTTGTTTTTTGTTCTTCTAGTCATGTTCAATAAATCTCTGATCAAATAAATGGTTCATAGTTTTAATGGGGATAATAATCTTTTTTCCGATTTTACAAATGGTAAGGAGTACTATTCATTAGTGTGTTGGTGTGAACTTGTTTGTCGTGAGTTCAGTTCCTTATTGAGCAGCATTGATATCGTCTGTGTTTCATATTTACTTGTATTAGGAATATACTTGGGCATGTAATTCTAAGAGTAAGTCGTGCATCTTTCTTTCTTTCTTTGTTTTCTTTTCCTCTGGTAAATGGTTGCTGCCATGTAATGCCTTAAACTGATTCAAATCATATATTTGCATCCTTTATGTCTTTCACTATAGGAGAATACATTTTCTATTATTTCATTCACTGTATTCAAGCTTATTTGGTGACAAATGCAATTTTGGTGCCTAGAGATATTAAGATCTTTTCTTGAGTGCTCGTTTTCTTAAAGGGAAAATTTTACGGCTCTAAACAACCAAATTAGAGCCCATCTCAAAAATTTCACTAGAAGAGGTGGTATTGATGCCCAAATATTCTCAAATGATCATCTCGACATCAAGATGCATGGACATGAGAAAAAAATGGATTTCAAGCTTTGAAAATAGTGCATCTTGTAACGCATTCTTGGACCGTCAATTTTCAAGATTTTGAACTTTTCATAGATATGCTCGATCTACACTATTTTTGAAGCTTTAAATTTTATAACTAAAGATGGAAATATATTGTAAGGGTATCACAGAGATTCCTGTATTGAAACCACATTTTTCGATACTATTTGAAGATGTGCTTTACTTTGATTGTTTAGTTCTTCGGCTCTATACAAACCACACCCTTTTGTAAAAAATCCAAGTTCCATGTTTTGCTTAATCTACTATACATATACTAGTCGTATGGGGTCACATGTCTTGCTTAATCTACGTACAAAAGCATAATAGTCGTATGGGGTTACATCCCTTTTCGGGGTATGGTTGCCTTTTTGTTCTTAGTGTGGATTTGCCCATTTTTTAGTGCTACGTACTTGAGGGTCCAGAGTTCGATGTGCAACCTCAAGTTTGCCTCTTTTGATTACAAGAATTACAAGGGCTGTTTTAACAATGGAAATTCCCAAGCCTTGATGGAGATGGCCCAAGAGATCTCCCAAATTCGTAGGGTTCAAGGTGGAACTCGTTCTTTATAGGGTTTTTAGACATACAAAGAGAACGTGAGTTAGGAGAGAGGAACATCGTGTTCTTTTTTAGCGATAGAGATAAAAAAATGAAAAAGAGAGCATGTATCATTTTGGAGGTATGTGACCTCGTTTTCATAAAGTAATTAAAAAAACTATCCTCTATCTAAAAACCCCTTCATATGGAGGTTTCCATTTACATGATTCTCTCTCTAGGTGGTTATTTTCTCAAATAGGAATTCCATTCAAGTTCCTATATGGACTTATCCTTTCCAATTTGAGCAAGATCTCGTCTAACCGCCTATATCCATGATCAACTATCCTTATCTCATAGGATTCTTTTCTCTCTCTCTTCCAATCAACAATCCTCCCACCCACAAAGGTCGGAGCTTGATTCCAACATATCGCGCTTGTTGTGGGTGTATGTAAAGATGTCGGTTCATAACCTACGATGCAATGCAAAAACTTTCTCATAGACCACTAGGGAATGCAGCATGACACCTTAAGGTGCAGTTACATCTCCAGAGAGAAAACTATGTTAAATTTTCATCAAACTAACTTGAAACACCTCTTCACTCTAATCCAAAGTTGCTCTAGCCTATCTTAGATGCTCTTGACTACCACCAACTCGAGTATCTCAAATAGTCCTTCACAAGCTTTCTATGCTCAGGAGTCTACTCAACCCCTTTGTGCGCAAATAGTCGACTAATCTAAATAACTTGGTCTCATTCAAGCCAAGTACTAGGATCGATCAAGGTTTTATACCATGTAGGTCTTAGTTCATTCGTAGCCTTGCATCCTATGGCAACTAATGCGCCTCAGGATCGCACCTAAGCGACTGAACTAAACATCCTCGATGTTCGCACTTGGTTATCATATAGGCTACATGATCTTGTGGGATGCCATGTCGATCATGCTCAGTGATTTAAAAAGCGGATTGCCCAGTGCCTGGGAGGTCCAAAAGGCTTGGGTGCATCTCTCAGGCTTAGGCGGTAAAGTTAGTGGGATATCCCTGGGAGCCCACCTAGGGACTCCGCCCCGCTCAGGGGTGGAAATGCTCCTCATTGAGGGCATGCTTTGGTCATTTTTTTAAGACTAAATGGCCAAAATTGTGGATTTTAGGTTCATTTGAGATCTAAAACCCATTAGAGCCTATTTTAGAGAGAGAAAACCCCTAAAAAGGTCGTGTTTGGTGATTTCCACAGGATCCAAGGGTTTTTCAAAGTTATGAGAAATTGATCTAAGCATCACCCATTGATATTAGATTTAATTTTGGATGTTTTATAAATTTATTAGAGAGTTTTTTAGAAGATTTTGAATCCTTATAAACTTAGAGGTGGAAGTTTGGAGATCGAGCAATTAAAATTAGTGATTTTTTTGATTGCTTGTATTATTTTGAGATATCTTCTTCGGGATCTAATTGTAGTGGTGATCCAGGTTGGAAATATGGCTACAAGCCGAATCCTTTTGATAAAAATTACATAAGATGCAAGTTTTGTGAAAAGGATACAAAATGGGGCATAAACTAGTTCAAGAAAAATCTTGTCGGTATCAGGGGGGATGTTCCCCATGTAAAAAAACTCTTGATGCTGTTATAGAGGAGATAAATTTTTTCCTGAGTCTTGTAAAAATGAAAAAAGTTAAGAGACAGGCATCCATAGTAGAGATGAGGTTTGGGGTTCGAGTTAGTTATGATGATGATGATAGTGATGAGGATGGGGAGGGGTTTCAAGAGGTAGAAGTAGAACAACAACAATCCATGATTAGGGGGAAGGGAAAGGGAGTTGTAATTGCTTCTGGGAGTTCGGGGCCTAAGAGGCCTCGGGTTAGAGGCCTTATGGATTGGTTTTTGCCCCAGCCTGACCCTGAGGTTGCAGGAGAGGAAACAAGAAGCAAACCACCATTGAAAATGTACGCAAGAAGGAAGAGAGAGATATAGCTGCACAATATATTGCTACATGGTAACTTTGGTAATTTGGTTGGTAAATTTTAAGTTTTAACTATGTGTGAACTGTGGAGTGTGGACTTTCACATAATTGGATATGGACTTATGGTTATGGAGTATGGAGGTGTGTGTGCTATGTTGACTTGTGTACTATACATTTAATGTGCCCTAAATCCCTAATTCTTATGTGTTATACAATTATACTTATATTGTTAGACTATAGAGAATTTTTCTTTCCTTACTGGGCCGTTCAGGTTCTGGGTGCCCGCCTAGGTGCTGGGCGGCTTGAATGCCCCCCCCTACCCCCCCCAGCCGCCTAGTGCTTTTTGAAACATTGATCATGCCAACTCCCAACCATGGAATCGCATCTTGACGGTCCCATATTCTGTTTGTGTTATCCTTTAATGTCCTTGACATTGAGGGCGGTCAATACTATGCAAGTAGTAGACCAAGCCAGACGATGTTTTATCACTCAATGAACACGTATCCTAGGTTGGAAGTGTGAATGTGCATCTAAATTGTGTATGTGCATTGAACAAACCATAATTCTACAAATCACTCTGTTAAATGGTGAAACTAGTATTATATCCATGTACTGAATTAGTTAGATAATGAGCGTGGTACAAAAGAAATTATTAGGGGCTCCTAAGTCTTAATCCTTTGACGTGAGCTTTATAACTCTCGTAGGATATATGCTTAGTCAGAGGGTCTACTACCATTCTGCTCGTTGGAATATATCTCATTTTTGTCTCTTTTCTCTAAATGAAATTTCCCACACATTCATAGTCAATCCCTACGTGCTATTCTTTTGTGATTCTTCACATCCTTTGCGAAAGCTAATGTTGCTGAATTATCACATAACAAGCTCGCGAGCTTTCCAACTCACAATCCCTAAGCTTCATAGGAACTTCATGACCTGCACGCTTTCTTGCGACTCTACCCAACATCTATGTACTCTAATTTCAAAGTACATGGTGCCATTGATATTTCTTTCTTTTTGTACTATGAAATTGCTCCACCACTGGAGTGAAGAAATATCATGATGTAGAGAGCAGACTATGAATCATCTAGATAACCTGTCCAATTATACTCATTATATACTCACAACCAAAGGTCACTATATACTCGCATCCAAAGGTCACCATATACTCACAACGCAAGATCTGTCATTGGTCTTCGGTTCCATGGTCCTATTGGAGTATCCTTTTCACATTCTGCCAATGTTTCAGACCTGAATTTCTCTTGTAGCAACGACCTGAATTTCTCTTGTAGCAACTAACATACTCTACGACACATCTGGTTCCGTACATAATATTGTACATCTAAGGCTGCCTATTCTACTTTCACAGGGTACCCAGATCATCTTTAACAAATTCTATGACACATCTGGTTCCGTACATAGTTGTATACATAAGGTGGCGTTTTCTACTCACGTGGGGTGCACAAATCATCTTTTCTTTTTACAACCGCTGTCTATGGACAAAGATTCACATTGAGCACATGAGTGTTCTTGAAAGACTATCGATTGGTCGAGTTCTAGAGCTAAACTCACTACAATGACAAATGTGAGGTGAGTTGAAACCATTCTTAGGGAGAACGTCTTATCATAGTTACACCCTCATTTGGGTGAATCCCGTGGCCACCTTTGGGGCATTGTTCTTATCTATAGTTTAATCGGCCTTTTTCTTAATTTTGAGGACCCACTTGTTTCCTATGGCCTTTTTTCCTTAGAAAAACTCCACGACTTTCAACACTTAGTTGTTATCCATGGAGTTAATATCTTCATTCATTGCAGCATTCCAATTCCTTGCAATAGGTGTTCTTAATGCTTTTTGATGTGAACACTGATCATCCTCGTCAATGGAGATGCACGTCAAACCTTCTCTTTTAATCTCGAAATGTCTCCATGAAATACTGTGATGTGCACTCTTACGAGGCTCATGAGTGAATGGTGGCTCACTCTAACTGTCATCAATGACCATGGGAATACTCCCATATCCTCTGGTGGAGGAGTTGCCTCAGTATTTTGCTTTTGCGATGCAATCATCTTGTAAAGGTCTAGAGTCATTTTACACGGCTTCCTTATTCATAATTTCAACTCAAGGAAGTGCATGTTTTGTGCGATTGAGTTTCTTTGTACCACCCTTTTCTGACTCATCACATAGTACATGCCCTTAGATTTCTCAAGATATCTTTTGAAGATGAATTGAGTGGACGTCCAGTCTAGCTTAGTGGTCAGCCGAGATGACACAAGCAGTTGACTCCCAAGGACACAACTGGGGTAGAATGGGTTTTCTATGGTCTATACCATAGTTACTGGAATCTCTCATTGGACCCGAGATTCCGGTTTTGAAACCTGTTTCTGCATTTCCGTTAAGGAACTCCACGGAAACCGTTTTTTTGAATCAACGAAACTTGATTCCTTTATTCCAGAATCTCGATTCCGTACCTAGGTGGAAACCTTTTTTTTGCAACATAGGAAACTTGATTCCTTAATTTTGGAATCTCGATTCCTCACATATGTGGAAACCTATTTTTGGAGCCAAGGAAACTTGATTCTTTAATTTCGAAATCTCGATTCAACACTTCTTTTAAAAATATTTTTCGGAACCAAGGAAACTTGATTCCTTAATTTTGGAATCTCGATCCAACAAATCTAGAGAAACTTGAACCTCCTAATTGTGGGGTAAACGCTCCCAAATAGATTGAATTTGACTTTCAGCGAGGTTTAAATCTTGATTCCATGTTAAATGATACACGATTCTACAGTAATAGAACTCGTTTCGTTAGGGTTTTGAATCATCTACACCATATAAAACATTGGTTTCTTGTAAATAATAACCACAAAAGTAATGTTTTATTTTCTAGTGGATATCATGCTTTAAGGTCCCGAATGATAGCATTAGGCGGCATGTGCACTAGAAGGGGGTATTATTATTTATAAGGCATGTATTTTAGAAGGAATTTAATGAGATTGTGTTGCTTTTTTTTGTTATCTTTATTATGTTTCTTATATTTGCGTTGATGTAAACTGCTATAGTTTCTTTACCTTGCGCATAGTTATGTGAATTGCTTAAGTAAACTTGCACCATGTCTCGCCTTGCAACATTGCTTAGTACTGTACTACCGATTGCAAAGTAGTTATTAGTAATGTTCTTTTTACTTTTTTTTTGCCTGATTTAAATGCCAATAGAATAATGTTCCTTATATTTGTGGTGATGTAAACTGCCTTGGTTTCTTAATCTTGCTCCTATGTTATGTGAAATGATTTAAATGCCCATAGAATAATGTTTCTTATATTTGCGGTGATGTAAACTACCTTGGTTTCTTAATCTTGCTCATATGTTATGTGAAAAGACTGCTTAAGTGATCTTACACCATGTGTAGCCTTGCAACATTGCTTAGTATTGAAATACTGATTGTAAAGTGGTTATTAATAATGTTAATTTTATTTATTTGTCTCTAATTTAAATGCCTATAAAATATTGAAATCATTTAATAACATATAAAACAACACACATGGACTGATAATTGAAAGTCTGGAATTTATATATTGTGTAATAAAAAAATGTTTCAATACTTCAAAATACAGAGAGAGAGAGAGGGGGAGGAGGGGGGCTACGACTTGTTCCTTCTTCCACTCTTCCACTATGGAATCAAGAATCTTCTAATAAATAAATGCCTGGATACATATTTTCTGTGTTGTAATTAGATTTATATATATTTATAATTAGTTCTATTGGTTATTTGCTTAAATTGAGTTTTGATAACACAATTGTTGATTTTTTATTTTCTACTTCATCATTATGGTGCTTACTGTTGTAGCACAACTTGAACAGAGGATGATGGAGGGATTATTCAAGTTGTCCCTGATGTTGGTCCCGGTGTGAAGGCAACTGCTTTATCGCAGATGGAAGCTGCAATAGTTTCCTTATCACGGGAACTGAATAAGTTACGTACTGGGAGGGCATCGGCAGGTTATTTGTATTTTCTTTTAGTTCATGAAACTGTTGCTTGTTGCACTGATATTAAAAAAGAAAAATTGCACTCATGCATATATAAATTTCTGTAGGAATGCTGGATCATATTATTACAGAGGCTAATGGTGTTCGGACACCCCTAAGTCGTGTTGCTGTGGTTTCTGTTTTAGACTCCCAAACCCTCTCTGTCACACCTTATGATCCCAATGTAAGAATGTTGTCTCTCTTTCTAGTACAGCTTTCTTTTTCTTTCTTATTTGATATCTAATTTGGAACATGCATTTGAAAATCTTATGCATTAAAGAATCTGTTTGAAATGACTTTGGCAATTGGGGTATGAGTATCGTGTTGATATTTTTAATTAGTCTATATTTTCTGTGACATTTTATCTAATTGAGAAAATGCATTTGAAAATCTTATGCATTTAAGAATCTGTGTCAAATGACTTTGGCAATTGGGGTATGAGTATCGTGTTGATATTTTTAATTAGTCCATACTTTCTGTGACATTTTCAGTTTCTTGTGTTGGGGAATCCTTATGAATGCTAAAGCAGAAAAACATTTTGTGCTGTGTAAAATTTTCATTTTCAGTAAGCTCCTCAATGATGGAGAAAATGTGGTTAACTTGTAAGTATAAACAAGAAAACAATGACAAAATAGCATGTATACACACCTTGCCTGGATTACTTGTACCCCAAAAACCTACATAGCTATCACATATGGGGAGAGAGAGAGAGCACATCCAGGTGTTCCTAGAGGAACAAAATTCATATATGTGAATGGGTAATGGAGGAGAGAAGAAAAGAAGGCAGGGTGACATCTTCCAAGAGAAATCATCTATATGGGCCAAGAAATCGGCTATGATGTTCTTCATATGGCCTATTCTGAAACATATTGGGCAAAGATGGCAGTGGTCTTATCCAGTATGTTGCAGGCCTCCCCAGGAATGTCCATTCCCGTGGGCCCTCTAATTCCTTCACAAAGAGAGGGCTTCAGAAGGACTGGAAGGTCTTGTGGCCAGTGAGGACTAAAGATACCATTGGCCTTGGCAGCTATAGTACTTACAGGGACATGGATACAAGCGCTAGTGTCTGATATGGATGTTCTTCATCCCAATTAATATGGGTTTGTCATGGAAGCTATGATTGATTAGAGGTCATTTTGGAAGCGGGTGCTAAGTTTTGAGCTCAGGCAGTGGTTTGATGAGGGACACTGATGCCTGTTAGTAATGTTTGGGAGGTTGTTAGTGGTGTTGATGGTCTTTGTACAGGTCTGGTGAAGAAAGTTTGGGAGGATGATACTGTAAGAACGTAGGACTTCTCCATTTTGAGTCTATGTATTGTTGCTGCTGGTGGGGCTTGCTGGGGTAGAGGAATATGCTTTGTGCCATTAGCCTTCTAGTTTTCAGGGTATACTGATTTACTTCTCCCCATTTGTTCTAATGTGGAGTTATAAAACATAGAAAGGGCTGTCTCATTGCATATGTAGCTTAAATTTGTTCCCATTTTGGAGAATTCTTATGTGGTTACACCTGGCGATATGTGCCTCGGCGTGGCAGCATGCCGATTTAATTTATTCAATATTTTTGAAAGCTAGGAATCCTGGAGAATAATAAAAATTGCCAGCTTTGTAGGGAACATTAGTTGGACAGTTCTTGGTCCCCATATATTACTTTAGTAGGTTTTGGCGTGCTTAACTGGATATAATAATCAGTGTTGTGTAGTGGTAAGTCTATTATTGATTTCTCGTCTTGAAGCAATAGAGATGGTGGTTTTGTGTAATTTTTGCAACTTCCTTTCCATTCTTTAAGGTTTTTCTGAAGTAATTGCCCTAAAGTGTTTGAAGTATTGGAATCTTTATCAGCAATGCACTTCATAAAAATATTTCCCTGAGCAAAGTGACCTTTCTTAGGCATCTCCCAAAATAAGGGATTGGCGACTAATGAAATTTGGCTTGTCAAAACTTGTTTTATAGGAAGTGTCTGATCTTCACATGGAGGGTTTTGTTTTGGATTTCTCTCCAAGACCAAAAGAGAAACTGTACCCCATTATGGGGAAGAATAGTATGTAAAATTTAGCATGATTATTGATAACTAAATGAGGATTTGGTCATTTTGCATCTCTGCTAATTGCTTGTGCACGTTGAGTAATATTTCCTTTTCGACAAGCTAATTCTTAGTTGTATATATTATATGATAAGTCATGCCTTCTTATGTCAACCGTAAGTGTTTTAAAGATGGTAAAGAACATGGTGGTTAGAAAACCTAGGTTTACGTTTTTGTATCCTGTTTCCAAAATGGTAAAGAACATTGTGGTTAGAAAACGTAGGTTTACGTTTTTGAATCCGTATTTGTTATGTGTCAACTGTGTATGATTCAATCACCGGTGATTTGGTGTTTCTTAGTCAGCGGAGTCTTGCTTGGTGTATAATATTCTGATTCTGATCTCTGTGTGTGTGCACGTGTGTAGGCTCGCATATGCGCGTGTACATGTCTGTTTGAGCACGTGTGTGAATGTGTGTGCATGCACGCATAATCTGATGTAGTTATTTGCTTGAACATTAGAATAAAAAAGTGATATGGCTTATCCGCATGTGTCACGAGTTTTGAATCTTTGGATTGGTTATTTGGAAATTTCTGACCTATGGATTGTAACCTTTATGGAAGGTGTTTCCCAACATGACGTTGAAAGAGAGTTTCACCTGGATACAGGGGCTATATTATATACTTCCTCTAAAAAGTTGGCTTGTAATGGCTTGGAACCCTAAAACTTCTATTTAAGGAGGTTAGAAAACTAACATGAATATCCGTGCAATTAAAGCAAACAACTTGATTTTGATTTTGGTTAATATGTAGAAATAGACTATAAACAAATCCAAATCACATAATTAAATTACATGGTCTAATCTACTTTGTTGGGTGTGATGCTTTATAATTCTACCTTCTATACATGGGCAGAAGCGGGTTTTTGCCAAAATCCTAGTGTTAAGGATATAAGGGTAGGAAAATGGTGGATCTTAGACGTGTGACCATCTTACTCAGCAAAAGCCACCCAGACGCAAGTTTTATTATGTGTTAACAGGTGACATGTTATTGAAATCTGATTTCTAGTTGGCTGGGATTTATATGAAAGCATGTTTTTGAACCACCTGGTTTTTGTATTAATTGTTTTAATTATGTCATTTTGAAGATGTCCCTTGTGACTTTTTTTGTTGCAAAACTTATGATCTCCTTTTCAATGGAACTCATTATAAGATCGGTATGGCTCTGTAATGTATGAAGAATTGTTCGAGTTGCTAATTTTATTCAGCTTTGGAATCCATCCATGTCTCATTATATAGGCTTTGAAGGAAGTGGAACGTGCCATCATTTCTTCCCCATTAGGTTTGAACCCAACAGCTGATGGGCAACGATTAATTGCTTCCATTCCTCCGTAAGTATCCTATCAGCAGATATACAGTTCTTGTGGCAGCAGTGGTTGCATGTATTTGGAATAAATTCCTGTGACAACCTCTTTTCTATCCTGCTGATTATTTCCTATTAACATAGTTAAATGCCTATTTTTTCCTCTCCAGATTAACGAAGGAGCATATGCAGGTGAGTTTACCCTGATACCTTCCAAGATCTGCTTGATTGTAATGTATACCATGTTGCCACGATGGATTTATGTCAGCGTATTTTCCCAGGCAATGTGTAAGGTAGTTGCCAAAGCTTCTGAGGACGTTAAATTGAGCATCAGAAGAGCACGCCACAATGTATGCTTGTGAGATTTTGGTTATTGTTGCTTTTCCTGTGATCTTGCTGCTTCAACAAGTGGGAAAAGGAGTTAAATTTTTCTGATTTTGTTGTTAGCAATGAAAACTGGATCTTCATGCAGGCATTGGACACAATAAAGAAGGCTGCATCATGTATATCCAAGGATGATGCAAAGAAACTTGAGAAGGAAGTATGTTACGTTTTGGTTCTGTTTTCCTTGGTCGTATGTTCCATGTTATGTAATTTGATCAGCTCACTTCACAACTACACCATGCTCTTTTCCTGCATGACCCCTTGAATCAATATTAGGAGTAACCAATCCTACATGCTAGGAATGGGGATTGTTTAATCACAAAATCTTCCTAATCCAACCTCCATCGACCACATCCCACCGAAGCATTAATTTTTGCTTGCTACAAAGAGATTGGCGTGCCTTCTGTGGATGGTGTACCCTGTTGTATGGAAAAGTATACAAATAGAAAAGTATACAAATAGATTATTTACTTTTGATACAAGGAGGTCACAATCACTTGTTCATCAGATTTAACAAAAAAAATTTCTCGAACTTTATGTCACACCCCAAGTTATCCAATTTGACACCTAATGGTTAGTAGCAATTATGACCTCCTTGTAACAAAAATAAATGGTCTCATAGTATACAATCCTTGTTATATATAACCTTGATTCTTGTGTTGTCAGGTTGATGACATGACAAAGAAGTTTGTGAAATCTGCTGATGATATGTGCAAGGAAAAGGAGAAAGAGATAACGGGGAGTTGAGATGAGAAGCTCACATGTAGCCACCCAGTTTCTGCATTATGTGCACGACGAAAAAATCCCTTCAGTTTTGATCCCTAGCAAGTCTCTGCTATTTTCAAGGGTTTAGCTACGGGCATACTACGGTAAAAGAGATATATGATAGTGAGGCACTTTCATACATAGGCTACTTGGCAGTTTTCATTGTTAGTTTGAGTGATTGTTTTGCTGATCAATGATTTAATTGATTCTGCTTAGGTATTAACATAAATCATGATGTTTGTGTGATTTAGTTTAAAACCCAATCTTATACCCATTGCCGTCACTGCTGTAACTTTGACATTTTTAGTTCAATAAATTTAGTCCTTGGTGTTGAAACTTAAGATATCAAGTTGTTTGGTTGTTTGTCCGCAAATACTGGGAGAGCACCAAACGAATCAAGTTGCATTCAAGGCTTCTGTTTTAACAGAGTGCTGCATGAGAAAATTTCGAGTCTGAATATTACAAGATGAGACATGCATTTTCATGTGATGGCTTTTCCCTTGGGAATATAGCATAGCTTGAGGTTTCTTTTTCTACACTAATTTCATTTACTTTTCATTCTGTTCTTGTAGAAATACATGTTTAGATAATTGGATATAGTTCTCAGTCACTTGTCGTCCTCCATCTCAGTGAGATCTCTTCCCCTCCCAGCCTCCCTCCTTTAGCCTTTGATTTTTCCCCTGCTTTCACCATTTATATGCGGTATCCGTTTCTTCCCTTAACTATGTTTCAGACTTTTTATTTATATTTTCCTTAATTTGTTTCAGCAGGTATTCTTTGTGTTAGTTTTTTCATTTACCTTGCTGAGTCAAGTCAAATTCTTTTTACAATGCATTCTTTCTTTGGCATACATTATTTTCTTTTCCTGTTGTTTTTGTCAGTTCTGAATGTTCCTTGCTGCAAATATCCACGGCTTCCTCTTCTTTTCTAGTAGCGTTATACTTTACTCTTTTCATTTCATATTTGTGGTATTTATTTTGATGCATATTTTGGAGTCTGTTCTATATCTATTACTTTGTGGACTACGGATGTTATGGAACTTATTTGGCCGTTATGTTTTAATCAACACAGTTCGAAACTATGGTTGGCCAAACTTGGAGCTTTGTTGGGCTTGCATTGGGGATAAGGCTCTTGTGATGATGATGCTATGTTAAAATTTTAATTTATTTTTATTGGTTTAGTTTCCTTTCCAAAAATTTAGCTGGTCTGGCAATCCACTGCTAACCACAGTTGGGCCAGCCAAAAGAATATTAGTCGAAAGATTTTTTGTTCTAGCTTTTTTTTTTTTTTCTAGACAATTCAGTGGGCGTTTAGTAGGAATAGAACTCAAGAGAGTTTGTGGCACCCTTCGCCTCTGACTTATTAGTCTAGAACCCATTCCTAGGTGAAAAAAAAAAGAAGAATATACTTTTATTTACCTTTGAATAATTTCCAAAAAAACGAGGAAAAAATAAAAAGAAAAAGAAATAATACTTTAGAAGGTTGTTATCAAGATGAAATAAAGTCACTCTAATTGGTGAGGAGATTGCTTCAATCCAAATAGTCTGACCATCGACTGAGCCAGATTGACATGATTTTTAAAAAGGTGCGGTTTTTATAGAGCTGAGGCTCTAAGCAATAGAAGTAAAGCATACCTTCAAATGGTGTCGAGAAATGTGATTTCAATATTGGAAATCTTTGTGTTAGCCTTAAAATATATTTTCTTATGTAATTACAAAATTTAAAATTTCAAAATAGTGTAGATTGAACATATTATGAAAATTTGAAAATCTTGAAAATTAACGGTCAAAAAATGCATTACAAGATGTATTATTTTCAAAACTTGAAATTTATTTTTTACTCATGTCGATGGATCTTGATGTCGGGATTATCAATTTGAAGATATTGAGCATCAAAATTGACTCTTCTAGTGAAAATTTCGAGGTGGGCTCTAATTTGATTGTTTAGAGCCTTGGCCCTATATAAATTTTTTCTTTTTAAAAATATTAAATAATAATAATAATTTAAAAATCCTAATATATTCGAAAAAAAAAATTGCCCAATTTGCTTGGTTGATTGAACAAAGATCAAATTGGTTGGTCGATAACCGATAACACCTGATTTTTATTCTAGACCAGATTGGCGGGTCAATAGTCAAATCAAAAGGGCTGCTGACACAGTCTGGTCTTGATAGAATTTGTAAATTCGTGAACACGGTCGCCCCTAAAATGTGTCAAAAGTGCTTGACTAGGGACTAATTTAGAGCTATGTTTGAGCTCCAAATCATTTTTTTGAAATTTCAAAAGCTCATTTTCAAAATAAATGCTCTTGTAGACACCAGTTTCAGCAGGTTATCAATAATTTAATAGAAGGCTCAGCAAATTCATTAATATTCTCCAAACTACCAACATTCATCTCTTTATTTTCAATAGAAACACAAGCACCAGCAAGTTTATCAGCAATTTTAACATGGCAAATTCATTGAAATGCTTTTAAGAACCACCACCAATATTTTTATTTTTTTTTACAAAAGCTCAAGGATGAGGTAGCTTATCAACGAAATTGTTTGAAGGGTCAGTTGATCCATTGGATGAGCAATTTATAAGCTTCTTGGGGGGACTGTAGGAGCAAGAAGTAAATGGCTCCACTGCATGCATCATTCCTCATCTAACCAATGCATAGAGTGATGCATATATGACTAGGACTATGATCTCCTTACTGTTAACATCAATATTTTCCTTGACAAGAACAAAAAAATCCAGAGGGGTCTGTGTCACATCAACATGCGTATTATGCAGTCCACTGAAAGCAATATGGCAGGATCAAGGTTCATTATATTCTCGGATTTATCATCAAAGACGAGCGACTTGTAAAATAGAGCCAATTTAGCGTGGCCTCTACATGATATTTTTTACCACACTTAGGAGCCATCCAATTCCTCTGCAAACTTAAAACCCAACCTCAATTTTGGTTCAAAATTTATAGCAACTAAATTGAGATGCATACGCTTTCATGACCGAGGTCCACACCATTTTTCTGCCTCAAAAGTGGAACCGCTTCAACTTCTAAAATTGCCATAAACCAGTGGTTTAAAAAGCGGGTCCGTGACCCGGATCGGGCACTTCAAAAATCCATCCGAATTGGCGAATCGGGAATTCGGATCGGAAATAGATTGAATTGGTCGGATTAAACTTTAAAAAAAATCAGAAAAAATTATTAAAATTCATTATAA